AAATATATACACACACACACACACACACGTATACATACATACATACACACACATATGTGCTATTACAAACAATGTTGCTACAAGCAGTCTAGAACATGCCTCCTCTTGTATATGTGCATTGTGTTCTCTAAAGTTATACCTGTTGGCGGCATATATAATTATTTCTTTCATCCAGAACCATTGTAGAGACAATAAAGATTCAAGAGATGAGGCCCTTGGGCTCAGGTACTAATTATAAGGAAGATAGAGCCATATTACAAAAACTTCAATGAAAACTGCTGTATGTTTAAAGTTCTATCCAAGATGGTGCAAAGAAGAGAAGGGTTAATTCCAATCAGGAAAGTCCGGGAGAGTTTGAAGGAACTACTTGCTTAAGATGTTGAAAGATGAGTAAGACTTTGACAGGTAGAAACGGGAATTCCCAGTGTGTGGCTAGAGCTGGGGAGGTGTATGCTTGATTGTAAGAGAAGGTAAAGGTGGAAAGAGAAACGAAAGGCAGAGAGGAGAAGGAATTTTGACCTTGAATGCCTTTCAAGGATTTTGAGGAAGATCCGTGTTTTAGGAAGATGTCTTCAGGATTGTGAAGAATGCTGGGTTGACAGTATGAGCACTTCCTCTATTATACTATTGTGAAAACTCTGCCTTCACACTGAGGGGCTTTCAGATGATGATTCCACCTTTGAAAGCAGGGCTGTGACTCTTCCTCAGAAGTCCTTTTGCTTGGGCGGGCGGTACTCAACCTGAGAGTGGGCATTATCCGTGACTTATTTGGGGAGAAGGGAGAGATAGAGGTAGCTGCCTCTGTGGAGTAACATTTTGTTTTATTCATAGTAATCAATAAAAGATGGTAAAGTAGAAAAGGTAGAATTGTGATACTGTAGCAAGACCACTAAAGTTCAGAAATGTCGCTCGCGGGTAAAACTAGAGAGAATCGTAGGAAAGCATGCTCTAGGCTGCTCGTAGCAGTGTTCTACGTAATAGCTGAACATTTGAAGTAACCTAAGCATTTATCAGTTAGAAAATGGAGAAATGAATTGTGGCACAGTCATCCACAGAACACTGTGCACATAGCAGAAAATGAACTAGCCTTGCACATATCCACACGGGTGAAACTCGAAGGTAGTATTGGGCAACAAAAGCAAGGTACAAAAAGATATTATTCAAGCCATTCATATAAGGCTAACATGATGCTACAAAGAATATTTTGTTTAGGGATACACACATACACATAAATATGTATGTTTATGTGCATATATGTTTATAGTAAGAGTATAAAGGAAAACAGTAATTTTAAAGGCCAATTTCATGAGAGCTGTGAGGGGGATATAATCAGGGAGAATGATAGCAGTTGGTAATATTGTATTCCCAGAGCTGTGTGATGAATACACAGCTATAATGTTACCATTTATACTTTGGAGATTTATGTTACATCATTGTTATAAAATCAAAAGCTGACAGAGGGGCAAGCGAGGCCATATACCGTAGTGGAGGCTGAAATTCTTTTTTTCATCTTTATATTCCTCCATCACAGGGCCTGATGGTATATACTAGGTGCTGAGTAAATGATGAAGTCTATTTGTTACATATAATTCGATAGTGATTAAAATAAATTAACCTTACTCCTCTTTATAGTGTTCTGCAGTAATTGTGCCACACTTTATGTGCCTTTTGATTACTCTTTATTACTGTGATTGTCTTCAGTTCTCATATTGAGATTAGAGAAAATGTGGTTAAGACTTTAATGATCCTCTTAATTCTTTTCTCTATGTAGACTTGGGTTGAATTCCTTCCCCTTCAAACATCATTTTAGGATTTAATCAGAGGAGTGGGCAGAGAGGAGCCTTTTTTTTTTTTTCAGGTTCTGAGAGTACTTTTCCTTATGTTACGGAGCCCACAGGTTGTTATTCACCCAGAAGCTGTAGAAGTCTGTCAGACTTTTTGTGAGAAATGGCATTCATCACAGTCTGGTAGATTCTTATTTCTGTATAAAAAGAAGAAAATGTAAATTAAGGAAAGGACCATTCTCATGCCTTGATATGTGAAATGCCTCCCCACTCACCACGCCTCTTAGCTCCGACTGCCCATTGCTACCTTCCCTGTCGTGTATGTGATACACAGAATGCCAGGTGAGGGTTCCTAGAAGTCTCCAGGAAAACAAGAGGAAGGAAAACTGCCTTCTCTCAATGCTTGTGCACCCAAAATATAGAGTTATGCTTTCTATTTTTCTTAGTTAGAGATAATATGTCAGGCCACTCATCGCTGACACATGACTTTACGCCCATCACGTGACTCGGTGGAGATGAGAACTTGATTTGTGGCCTGAGGAAAAGGAATACTGGCACAGTGTTCTGCAGCTTATCTCCACACACAAAGCAGTGCTTGTTGAAAGCCAGGGATTCCTCAAAGAACGGTGAACAGGATAGTCCCATTTTAATAAAAAAGGGAAGGTTGAATATCCTAGGCTCCTATTTCCAGGAAGATACTAAGCATGAAATTTAATCCAGAAGCCCCAAAGAAAAGACTGGTGTGCCTCTCCTACAATGAAAATTTCTGCATAATAAACAAAATCAAAAGAAAAATTGTGAAAATGTCTCATGCTTATAACTGACCAACATCGGATTGCCTTAATATAGAAAGAGCTTGTGTAAATTAATGTGAAAATTGATGAGTGCACCAAGAGGAAAATGGGCAAAAGATGTAAATGGCATGTCACAGAAAAAAAATTGAACAACAAAAAACGTGTGAAATGTTCACTCATCGTAATCCCAAGAGAAATGTGAACCAGGATAATGAGATACTATGGTTCATAGCCGTGTGAAATGTTGACTCATCGTAATGTGAACCAGGATAATGAGATACTATGGTTCATAGCATATTGTCAAAACAGTTTAAAAATTGGTAGAATCCAACAAGAGCAAAGTTGTGGTGAAGCAGTTCCTCTCATATACTATCGTATTCATCATTGAGGTACTCCTGTGGAGGGATTTTGCAGATGTAATTAAAGTCCCAAGTCAGATAATCTTTTATACAGAGATTATTTGAGTGGGCCTGACCCAACCGTATGAGCCCTTTAAAAGAAAGCATTTTCTCTGGTTAGGGCAGAGCAGTTAGAGATAGATGTGAGCCTGAGGTTGATTGGACGTGGCAATTGTGGACTTGGAGTTAGGAGAGGGCAGAGTCCAGAAGCGGAAAGCAGCCTTAGGCTGACAGCCAGGATGAAATGGAGACCTCAGTCCTGTCACCTCAGTGATCTGACTCTCCACAACCTGTATGACCTGGGAAGTGGATTCTTTCCCAGCCTCCAGATAAGAGCCCTGCCCTGCTGACACTATGATTTTGGCCACATGATACCCTGAGAAGGAAAACTGGGTGAGGGTTCCTAGGGAACTGGGAGCTGGTGGTTTTCTACCTTTCTTTGATTTTGGCTTTATGATCCATTGAGAGCCCCCTGAGCTCAAACAAGTAAAGCCTACCTAAGATTAATAAATAGATTATCATTTTTTAAGCCATTAAATGTTTGGTAATTTATTACATAGCAATAGAAAACTAATATAGGTATTATTTTGTTTGTTTATTGGTTTTATTTTTAGAGTCCTATTTTATTGTAAAGTCACTATATGCTAATTTCGTTACCTTCCTGTTCCCCAAAGTTAAGCATTTCTAAGTTGCTCCTTTCTCCTTGCAAAAATTCTTGTGAATATGTGTAAATATATTTTCTTGAATAACCAAGGTACAGGGATCTTCAGGAGACCATTTTAAAAGTCTGCCGACCACAATATTACTTCCATATTGTATTGGATTCTAATGGTAAAAGTATGAGCTCTAAAAGTGATTATGCTTATAGAGGGTGATCCACAGGCTAGCTGTAGATAAATAACCGAGACCTAGTGATGCTAGGCTTTTAAAGTCCTAAGAGCAAATATTGGCCAAAATACCTAACCTTTTGTGTCTTCAAAAATTGTTTTACTGTGAATTCGCAGGTGATTACGTAGATTCATTTGTAAGAGGATTTTTGGAAGAAAAGATGGAAAGAAGTATCAATTTCCTATTGGACACCTCTGGAAATTACTCAAGACAGGAAATGCCTTTAAAAAGTTCACATAACCTAGTAGGTTAGTATCTAGTATATATATCATTAGTCGTCACTGTACTTGCTGCTTCTCTGTTCACCAAGCCCCTCTTTGAAGATGTAACTGACCTAAAATTGACATTCCTACCAATAGTGCAGCACAAGGCTTCCCTTTTCTCTAATCCTTACCAGTGCTTATTATTTCTTGTGTCCTTGATAATAGCCATTGTAACAGGTGTGAGGTAAATTCTTTTTTAAAAAAATATTTTATTGATTTTAGAGAGGAAGGGAGAGGGAGAGATAGAAACATCAATGATGAGAGAGAATCATTGATTGGCTGCTTCCTACATGCCTGCAACTAGGGATCGAGCCTGTACCCTGGGCACGTGCTCTTGGCCAGAATCGAACCTGGGACCATTCAGTCCGCAGGCTGACGCTGTATCCATTGAGCCAAACCAGGTAGGGCTGAGGTAAATTCTTAGTATGTTTAATGTGCTTGTTTATTAATCTTTTGTAATGTCACTAATATCCTTTTGTAATACGCTGTTTGACTTTTTAAAATTAAGTTAATTTTTAAATTATTTTTATTTTTCAATTACAGTTGACATACACTATTTTATTAGTTTCAGGTGTACACCCCAGTGGTTAGACGTTGCATAACTTACTAAGTGATCATCCCAATAAATGTCCTGTAAATCTGACATCACACATAGTTACTAGACTATTATTGGCTCTATTCCCTATACTGTACTTTACATCCCCATGACTGTTGTGTAACTACCAGTTTGTACTTCTTAATCCCTTCACCTTTTCACCCAACCCTAAACCCCCTCCCATCTGACAAAATGTTCTCTCCATCTGAGTCTGTTTCTGCTCTGCTTATTTGCTTGTTTTATTTTTTAGATTCAATCGTTGATATGTATTTATTGCCATTTTGTTGTTCAAATTTTTTTTAATCTTTTTTTATTCTTCTTAAAGAAAAGCCTCTAACTTTTCATTTAATACTGGTTTGGTGGTGATGAACTCCTTTAGCTTTTTCTTGTTATTTTACTTTTTGATTAATGTAATATTTTTCTTTCATTCTTTTGTGGCACAGTTTGTCAGTATTTTTCTTTCTGATTTCTTCCGTTTTTGTCGTCATTGTGTCTATTGTAGAGTTTCATTTTATGGACGAGGCTGGGCTTGCTCTGAGCATCACCTGCTCTGACCTCGCTGCTTCCCTGCCCTCTTTGCTTGACAAGTTTGGTATCAGTGAAGCATTTCCTTACTCATACTCCTTAGTATGTGATATGGGGTGGTGTTTTTTCCAAGCAGTGACCAAGGTTTTCACTACAAGATTTTTCCTGAATCTTGCCTTCAAAGGTGAAACAATAGCAATCAAAAAAAGGCATCAAAACAGTTTTTCTCTACACCCTAGACAACTAGGGGAGGTTATGCACTTACACATTTCTGCTCAGATGTTTGCAGTACCATTAGGTTCACATGCCACACTCAGAGGGCAAGCTGTTACTCATGAATTTTAGTTTGCTGGTGGGAACAGCTTGGTCAATAGAGATGAATGATCTTCAGGTATCAGTGGAAGATTTCTCCTTGGCTAAGGTGAAACTGGGGAACAGAGCCTTGAATGTAATAGTGCCTTTGTTTTATCTATTTTGTGACTTTCATTCAAAAGCTATTAGCAGGTTTTTCATGCTTGAAATATTATTTGCCAAACTGTTTAAATCTGCTTTGGAGATCTTTAACAAAAGTGTTCATTCAGCAAGGCAGTCACTCCTTTGGCCAAGTAGACATGATGGTCCAAGACAAATGTATTCTTAGCTTCTTTCTATTTGGGTAATAGAACAAGGCTAATTGTGTGCCCATGGAGTCATGGCAAATTGATTGTTAGCTGTAGTAGAAATTAAGTGTCCTGATGCCCCATACAACCACTCTTTCTTTTTCTACTCAAGAAAAAAGACATGGTCACTCATTGGCATTTTTTTTCTAATTATAAGCAGATCACAACAAAATCAACTTAACCGTATAAAACTTGTGTTCAGTTCAGAGCACCTTGAAGTATTATTCCTCAGAGGTTTCATTTCATGTAGGTTACAATCAGCAAATCATTTAGTCAGCCCTGGGTGGGACATCACCCGGGACTCATCTGGTTTTATTAAAACCTTCAGAAGGACTGAGACCCAGAGTTTCTTAATCTAGTGTGTGTGCCCAAGTTTTATAATTTTACAATGAAGCTGTTCTGTGATTTCAGTTATTTCATAAGTCAGTTTCTCTGAATTATGGAGAATGCCATCTTTCTTATTCCATGCTGCACACACAGTTTTATATTGTAATCCTTAGCCTTTGTGTAACTGCCAATTGTTGGCCTGAGCAATGACACATCTTGCCCTTCCTGCTTAAGAAAAAGGATGATAAAATCAGATGGACTGACGTCAGCGTGTTTTCCTCGTTGGGGTATTGCTTTGTGTGGAATCAGTAATGACGGGTATATACCAGAATCATGAATATGTGTTAACTTTTTCATGAAGATCCCTCTGCCCTGTGACTTCCGTTTATCATTTTGGTCCTTTGAGAAGACTGCAATGTTTATGTGTAATTTATTCCTAATAATAATTTAATGACTGACATCTTTCATATTCCCCTGCTCTCTAAATGTAGAATTTAACCTGAATGGCCTCTGAGTTAGCTTTTTAGCTTCTCCATTATAAACTGAAGCTTTTGGAAGCTGATGTCTAAATTTAATTTTAAAGCTCCTCTGTGTTACCAAAAGTGGTATTAGTTTGCGGGGTTTTGTTTTGTTTTAGTACATGAGTTTTTCATCCATAAGGAAAGACTCTTTATTCTTTTTTTTAAATCAAAATGTTGCAGTTTTTTGTGTTTATGCATCAACTATGGATTTGCTTTGATTTGGTTTGATTGCTAAAGTAATAGATATATCTTAATTGCGTGTTTTCCAAGTTAGAGTTGACAGTATTTAGTGATACATTAGATGTGGGGTGAGGGAGAGGTCATCAAAGGTGGCTTCCAGCTGTCTTGCTGAGAATATGGATGGATGGCAGGGGCATTTCCCAGGGCGGAGGAAAGGAGAACAGATAGGAGCTGAATGCTTAAGAGTTCATGTTGCTGCATAATGGATTGAAGATACCAGTGAGCTACCTAAGTGACAAACAGTGTTGTTCTATGGGTGTGGAACTGAAGGGGTTGAATCTGTGCTGGTGATACCAGTTTGTTCATAGACAGTGTTTAAAACCCTGGGAAGGGATGAAATCATTGAGAGAAAAAGTTTTGGAGTGAGAAGACAGAACCTGGGGTTGAGTCTACAGTGCAAACACTTAGAGGTTCTGGAAGGACAAGTATCCAGCAAGAAACTGAGAAAAAACAATGTGAGAGGCGGGAGGGCAAGAGGAGAATGTAGTGTCTCAGAATCCAAGGGAAGACAGGGCTCCAGGAAGAGCCAGTGGTTATCAAATTGATAGAGTATGATTTATATTTCATTATTTTAAAAGATATAAATGACATGTATATGTCTTCTAAACCCCTGAAAGCTTATATTATTAACATTGCCCACCTCCAAAAAAAAAAACTTCCTTTCTTATCTACTATTAGAAAAATTGGAGATTCCTTTATGTTGAGGGTTCCTTTTATTCTAAGATCAATGATAAATGATCACCTGGAAAATAGAAGGTGCATTTAAAATCCTTGCTAAATCTATTCTCTCCTCACCCTCGAGGTTTCAGAGCCTATTGCTCTGAGACTGGACCATGTTGGGGACTGTCACGTGACTGGTTTTTCTGGTACTGTGGTGCTTCTGCCACCCTCTGGACCAGCGTAGCCCAGGTTAGCTCTGAACTTGAGTTAGTAACCCTCAGCTGTATGTAAACACAGACTACCTGAAGCCCAGTCGCTGGCAAGAGTATGGATTTGGGTCCCAGAAAAATGAACTGTTCCACAGAGCTAAAGAACTTGAGGTGGGGGTTCCATTTGCATGGGGATCAGCCCTCTGTCTTCATTAAGCGCCCAGTGCCCCTGATAGAAGGTTAAGCATAAGCAAAGTGGCCTTTACCTATTGGGCAACCTGCCAGAGAGGGTTAGCAATCTACATTTCCAATTTAACTGCATATGCTAAAGAGCATTTTCTTAAATATCACGTATAGCAATACCATCCCTATCTTCGAACTTACTCTGGCATCATTATAGTATCGGCTTAATGATGCTTTACTGCAAATTTGTGTATTTACTGCAGCAATATGTGAGTGCTTCTTTATAAAAGCCATGCAAATTGCAGGCTGGTCAAGTTCTAAGCTGTTATGTTAGGAGTACCAGTGGGTGAATTACAGAGCTTGTCCTGAGATGCTGGGTGTGCGTGCACTGTGGTAACCCTCACCAGTTCAGAGGGCTCAGCTACAGGGAAGAGCTACCATACACACCTCTGCTTTGGAGTTGCGAGCCCAATTGGTTTCCTTGGACTAGGGAAGAAAGAGGTGGAGAAAATGTAGAAGAGTGTACGTACAAGAACAGTCATAGAGTTTAGGAAGAAAAGATGAGATTTGTTTTAAAAAAATCTGAATTATTTTAGGTTTCTAAAACTTGTATTTCAAACCCATTTTTTCTATTTATAAAAGCTGTGCATATTTATTGTAGGTAATTTGGAAAATGAAAGAAAATATAAAAATCATCTATATTTCTTTCCATCAGAGCTAACTACTTAACATTTGGATTTTTTGTCTAAATGTGTATTTTTTATATATTGACATTTTTATAATATCTATTACATTTGTGTATACTACATAAATTTGTGCATGTAAACATAAATTAATATGTAAACATACATCTGTGTATATATGTGTAAGTATGGGATCATAGATATAATTTTCTTTAGATCATTTTCTTTCTATATTATTTTGAGATTTTTACATATCATTAAATGTCTTTTCCCCCACAATGCTTGGTTTTAATGAGTACAAGATATTACAGCTCATGAATGTGTGATAGTTACCGTCCCCTAATGAATATTTTGGCTGCTTCCAGTTTTTTATTCTTATAAGT